TACTCCTAAGATACGCCCATCACATTCTCTATCTGTGAACCTAAGTATATCCTAGTAACTTTTATCATTGGGAGTATGTTCGTTTCCTCGCTGCTCAGCCTAGTTCCGTTATCTGTGGAGACCCAATGTCCCGTTTTAGGCTGGTTCATTCATTATTTGGCACTCAATTTGTAATTACTATGACATCACCAATCAACGAGTTGCGTCCAGGAAGTGAGCGGGATATTCTCACATCTATGGGGGCTGTGCCGAGAAGCTCTCTGACCACGCAAGTTCGACTCATGGAGACCGCTATCTACGAGAACAGTACTGCCTCGTATGTCCCCCATGTTTCTACCCTTGGTGAAAGTATCAAGAATGTCCTGTGCGACAACGACGACTCCAAGGCTGACATACCCACTGTTGGCAGTGATGAAGATCTATGCGCTCTTTGGACCATCATTTGCTTGGCTCATTGACAAGATGATTACCCTTACCCCTTCGGTGACCAGCACACTACGAGATGGTTCGACCCGCTCATCGATTGGTGTATTATTAATGCCGCCGCCAACATTCCGCAAGGCACTGTCTTCGTTGGACGACAAGCACTCAAGCAGCAGTTGTCCAGAAGTGCGACAGCGTCCAAAAGAGCGTCACATGCTCAGCTGGCACTTGCTTGTGCTGCTCAGACTGCCTCGTCTACTGATGGTATCACATTAACTAGTCACGGCTTTCTCGCATTCAGATCAAATGTTCAAGCAGCGCTTTCACCGCCTACTGCTACTCCGACTCCATCCCTGCAGAGTCACGACAGTTCTATGGACATTCCTTATGATAGCTTGAAGAAGAAGATCAAGGCTGTCGTTGGTGAGCCGCCAGCTAAGGAACTTGTCTTCGACGGTACCTCATTAGAAATATCTCGACGTCGGAATCACCTTGTTTGAAGACGCTGTCGGCTCCTAATTTCACCTCCCTCTGCAGCTACCGACACTCTCACGATTATCAAAACAGCTGCTGTGAATGTAAGTGCCATTCAAGTGGACTGCCGTAGCTCATCCACTTTAATCCTTCACGGCGTACCCGCTGTTCCGACAATTAATTTGACGATTTGGCAAAGCTCCTCTCATCGAGTACTGTCAGGTGCCAGCACTGGTCGGCACTGGTGCCAACCTTTCCCTAATGGACTATGGTGTGTTTCATTTCCTCAACAACAACAACAACAACCTTATTCCTGCAGGAGGCCTGCAGCAGCTATCGGCACCAGTACATGTCACTTTTGGTAATCATTCTACCACCGACACATCCCAGGGGCTCACCACGACATGCTCCATCGCAAATGATAGCACTCTTACAGAGAAGATGACATTTTTACCGGTTCCGCACTGCAACCCTACAGTCATCATTGGCCGCAACATTTTCTCTGTTCTGGGGATCCGGCTCAAGTCTGAGAAGGTGCGTATTCTTCCATATCTTGGATGCTGCACCACCTCCACCCAGACCCGAGTATCATCGGCCCAGTCCTCCGAGCTGACTGGTTCTCCAGCCAGCGTGCCTGGGCACGGGGCTCTACCTTTTCTCTCAGTGTGTTCTCGGGTGGTAGCGTGCGCGATGACTCCTTTCATAGAGCGTGTTGTGGAAGACGGTCAACCCCGCTTAGTCGCCTACTTACCAGCCATTGAGAACGCCAATGTTATCCTCACCGAGCTGCTAAAAGACGTCTCTCGCCCACCGATGATGCCATCATACACAGTAAGCTTT